GAGAGAGAGAGAGAGAGAGAGAGAGAGAGAGAGAGAGAGAGAGAGAGAGAGAGAGAGAGAGAGAGAGGTATTTTGAGCATTTTGAAAGGGGCCCTTGTGGGTGTGTTCTCTTTCCAAAGTCTTGAAATTGTCAGGTCATGGAGTGCATTTCCAGTCATTGTGCAGAGATGTTTTGGTAAAACGTGCCCAAATTTTGGGGTACTTGCGTGTATTTTGTAAAAATAAATTCCAGCAGTGGTTATGTTGTCAAACCACAGTGTCCTTTCGGGTATTGGAGTTCCAGAACTTTCGGGGTCCTTTTGGGTGTTCTGAAAACTGCAGGGTCCAATTGGGTGTTCTGCCCAGTGGAGAAGTATTGGCAACCGTGCTATTTTTGGAAAGTGATGCTGAAATCATGTTCTGCATCCTTTCTTGCAGGGATTTGCTGACCGGAGGGTTGCAGCTGATGGTGAATTTTCTGACAGCAGGTGATTATCCAGATTTGTTAAGACCCTTGGCAGAGCAAATCGCGTCAGCACATCCAGAAGTGGTATGCATGCGTACACTTCTTTCGGACTCTGTCCAGATACTCTGTGCACAAATTTGTGCTATTTTCTCACTTTTTCTTCGTTTTTTTTGATGTCCCTGCTCATTGCATCCTGCTTATTTTGCAATATACCTCCCCATGGAAATCCTGACGAGAATGTTTGTCGGCTGATCATACCAGCACAACACTCAAGAGGTGATGGAATGTTCCACAGAATCCAAAATTTGCAACAATTCGACTCATTCCGCTTCCCATGCGTTGTTCTCTCCCTTGGCTCAGCAGCGCGTGTTTGTTTCTGCCACCTCTGTTGTCCTCCATGACCTTCACCCAAATGGAATGTATCGTCATGATCTCTGTATCCAGACTTGATGTTGCCCCAAATGCAGCTGTGATGACCGTACGTTCTATCTGGGGGAAGACGGTAAGCATGATCAGCCAGTTCAAATATTTGCATCATGTATTGTCTCTGACAAGATGTAGTGACAATGAACTTCGCGGGAGAAAAAAGACGAGACAATTGCAACGAGGGATCGCTCGCTCGCCAACGTGAACTGTGCCATGCTTGTCCCATGAGTGTTTCACTTGGCCACGTTTCAGTCCTTCCCCTCTAGGGTTCCAAATTGCAGACAAATCCCCCTGTGGAGCTTGAATCCAGTTAGGGCCCTCAGATAAGCATCCAGATTCAGAAACCGCATGAAATTTCAAATTTTACGAATTCCCCCCACAAGAGCCAACCTACCAAACTACCCCTTCGACTTCAGCATCTACAGCTAAGTCCTTCACCAAGGATTATGTCAAAGCACTTGGACAGCCCAAAACTTGTGGGAATAAACACTGAGCCAGAGACAAAACCATTCTCGACAAAATCTCAGAAATCTCAGTACAAAGTCAGAACGTCAGCGACTCAGCAAAAACTCAGGTTTTCAGACTGAAAATGGCGCAGGTAATTGCAAGCACATAGCTTCTGGAAGCTCTCTGTACATATGGCGGCAGAGAGCGTGCCACTATAGTGATTTTGGCAAATAGAATGGTGTGCAGCCAAGTGTAACGACCTCTATGGCTGCAGAGTGTTGAAACACTCCCCAGGTACGGCACAGGGATTGGCAAACCATCATGCTGAGGAGAACTGGCACAGTAGGAACGGAAGGAAAGTCTGCTGCCATCCATTGATGTTGCATGAGCTTCTTCTGCTTTTTTTTTTTTTTTTTTGCTTGATTGTTTCTGGCTGGATTCAGAGGAAGTAAATAGGGCAACTGTTTGAAACTCAGCGTTGGTTGTAAACATTCTCCTTTAACTGGCTGCGTGGTAACAGGTCAGTATTGTCAACAATGTCAACGATTCACTGGGTTGCAATACGATTGGAACCAAGGAGCACATCCTCTATGGGCAGCGAGTCATAACGGAGCGATTGAGAGGGCTAGAGTTTGAAATCTCGGCGAATTCCTTCTTCCAAACTAATACGGATCAGGTAAGCGTGGCACACGCCTTCAGCGCCTGCTTCAGTGCAGACATAGATATTGGCATTCGTATGAGAAATGATTTGTTGAGACGTGGGAATGTGACCGCTGTAGCAGAAGCATCTGTAAGTATGGCACAGCTATGATCTGAGTGCAGCACAGCAATTGGTGTACATGCTGGTTGACGCATGGTTAATATTGGTTATCCAACTGATCCATTTGTCCTGCAGGACGAATAGATCACCCATCGTCATTGTTGCGGTATTTAGAGTGAAAGTTGCCCCAAATACAGCGATGATGACCATGCTTTTTATTGGAGGAAGTCCGAGGAACATGCCAGTCTGCATTGACTGCTCGCCTCTGGCATAGTGATTGACTGTAATTGACATGCGAAAAAATAAAAGAGCGTTTATCACTGAACCAAAAGAGAGATCAATGAAGGAACTGCCAAGCGCCTTCAGGGCTTGCGTCGGCATAGACATAGACATTGATTGGTATGCATATGGACCAATTATTTGTCCAGATGCTAGAATGTGATTGTTGTAGCAGCATCCTGCATATGACCTGCATAACAACATACCACAGCAAGCAGGAAGGCACCACAATAAAACACAGAAT